TTTTGAAAATCAAAAGACGGGAGATCTTAAAACAGATTTTCAGAGAGATATGCCATCTGGTTCTGCGCACGTATTTGGTTAGGTATGCGGTAACTTTGCTACCTCAGGAAGACACAGAATTCGTCACTTTCGTCTGCATCTCTCAGATGCTGATGGTGGGGTTAACTTTTGGTCTCTGCAATAGATGTACATCAGTCCTGCACCCGGCTTGCGTTGGACAAGATTCGGATGCCGAGATTGAAGATATCCAAGATATACATGTCTTTGTCACATAAAGAGTCAAAAATAATTTCTTCTGATCATACGAGATGGTTTAGTACAGGGTCTTCGCTTAAGCTACTAATCTACTCTCAATTCTTGAATAATTGGCCATCATTGACCCAAATTACTATCAACTGAAGTACCCACCCACAGTGTCTTTGTTCTAGGTTCCGAGAACCGACGATTTCAATCAGTCATATAATCTGCCTGAAATTCATGAGCAAAAGGATCGGTTTGGTTAAATCAAGCGTCTGGCCAAGTTACGCCTGAAAAACAACACTGCTCTTTCATCATCTGTACGACCCTAATGCTTATTACAAGTAAAATTGTTTATCACTCAGTCTGTCACATCCGATGACCGCTTATCCTTTTCCGATGGAAAAGCATATAGAATGTCTCCAACATTCCTGATCCTGTACCAGAGTTTGAGCTTCGGCAGAATATAACTCGAGTATTCAGCAAAGTCTGTCCACACACTTGTGTCAAGTTCTTTTGGCTGTCCCCCAGGAACTTTGACCGGTCAGTTCTGCAAAGAGTTGCTGTTTTGCATTCATTCCTGGGGAATTTTCGAAGGATGTGCCCTAACCGTAACGGCCATGACATCTCAGCCTGAAGAGGCAGTGGCTGTACACAAAGAGTCTCTATCTAATACCTCCACTGCGAACCAGATCAAGACATGTATGCAGAGCGATTCGTCTCAAAAAGACCATTCCAGCCGTTTTTACCAGGGATTGAAACTTTTAAATCATGGGTCACGATTTATGACTACGTTAACACTAGAATCAAAATCGACTTCAGTACAGTCCGCGAGGAATGTCACTAACCATTCAAACTCGCCAACTAATATCTTCCTCCCATTTTCCATCACCAACAAACAAGCCCCGGAGGTAGTCAACTTCTCCACCTACTGTACTACCTCTCCATTTACCTGAAGAGTGTTACAGGAAGAATAATGAGAAAGTTTTAGGCTTTTGTTTCAAAACACGGTCACATGCACGCCAGTCTCGGCTACGAATGTTTTTAGGGATGGCTGCAGATCATTTTCATAAGATGGGAAGAAAACGAGGTCCTTTGCAAACAGCAACTTTCTGATTTCGAAATCATTTACTGTGATAAACCCGTGGCATTCGTTCCCCCTGATTATCCTATCAGTGAACAATGCAACAGGAGAGGGTATAGAACGCATCCTTCGCGGAGACCGGTGTCAACACTGAAAGGTCTTGATTTACTGCCATTTACCTTGATGCGGCATCAGCTATCAACACATAGTAACAGGATGGCTTGCACGCACGCCCACAGATCCTTGTGGGAGATTTGGTTATTGGCCTTCACCAAGTTCATAGAGCACATATGAACCGAAAGAGCGAACTCCCATAACATCACAACAATCCAGTGTAAGAAAAATGGTCAGGGCCACAGGTGCTTCGGCCTGATCTGAAGCCACAGTGCGCTTCTTAAATCTTAGAATCAATTACTCCACGGACCTTCGTTCCTAGTGCCTCTGCGTAATCTTTTTCATGGAGCTCTAATAAAGAAACGCTCTGATAATTGGAGCACCTTCTTGAACAAGGGCACTACAACTTCCTTTCTCCTGTCCACTGGTATTTTCCCGCAGTTATTGCAGCTCGATGCACACGAGTAAACAACGGTATGTTTGTTCGCATATGCTTTAAGCATTTCACAACGGATTTAATCAATTTCAGCAACCTTCCAAGTTTCCGAGCATTTTTAGTTTCGTTGAATTTATCTACTGCAAGAATATCCGTTGTCTCTTGCTTGGTAAATCTTCCTACGGGGATCAGGATCAATCAGTTCTTCAAAGTACTCTTTCCAACGCCAAAGTATGTTCTCATCGTTGGTAAATGGGAGGTCCAGACTTCAGGATTCTCTGAGTGCACTTTTTTCCATCTAGGAGACAGCCGATGATCTGCCAGAGTGCCTTGCTAGATATCTGGAACTTTGGCTCCAAGCCCATCTCAGGGATCAGCGTTCGTTCAGGCAACTGCTTTCGCTGCCATTCCCTGTGCTTCTTCTTACCACAGGTTAGACTCTATGGTTAAACGGCAGACAAATCCGCTTTAACCACAACATTCGGCGGCAGCCTCGAGTATGGCTCGCTTAAACAGCTGCCACTCGGTTTCAACATCAGTTGTCATCGCTGGGATCTGTTCAAACCGTCGTGCGAT